ATCGCTATTTCCGCGTACCTACTCATATAAGCAAAAAATACAAAATAGATAAAAGGTTCATCTTGCTGAATAAATTTAAATTAAAAAATTTCTACGCTCAAAAATATTTTAAAAAAGGTTTAAAAATTGTAAACAAAAAAACTAAAGTTGCTTTAGTTGAAAGTAGATATTATTCACATTCAGAGATCTTGTATTTTATTTTTAAAATTTCTTCGTACAGCTGCAAGCTATTTTTAAAATAATTTCATGAAAAAACTAGTTAAAAGCCTATTTAATTATCTAAAATTAAACAAATTACTCGTTGTCAATGATTAGTTTCTAAAATCCTGTTACCGTAGCCATTTTAAAAAACCTTCAAAAAATGTAATTTCACTGCGCATGCGTATAATAATAAATTTAACTATTTTGTTGTACAACAAAATAGTTAAATTATTGTAAAGTTCCACAACTGTTTTTACGGTTCGGTGTCTTTAAAGCGAAACTTTTAAGAGCGAAAGTTTTGAAAGCGAAAGGTCGGGAAAGCGAAAAAGTTAAAAGCGAATGCGATTGGTTAAGCGAGAAAATTTTTTTAACAACATTAGTAACATCTTAAATTAAGATGTTATTAAGATTTAATAACATCTTAATAACATTGGTAACATCTTAATAACATTTTAATAACATTGGTAACATTATTATTTTTATATAAATTCATATGAGTTAACCTATTATTCTTTTTCATTGAATTGTGTCATCTTAAAGTTGTTACAATTGAAGTGAGTCAATTTCAGAAATAAGTTCATGAAGTTTATTATAAACTTTAAAAGTTTATACTTTATAGAAAATTGAGTAGGGCACAATTGAATTGTTTAGAATTTTGCTCCAAAACAAAGCGTAAAAGTTAAGTGTGTATACCAATTATAATAGGGAAAATTAGTTGTTTTCGCATAAAAAATTTAGTTAGTTAGAAGTAGTTCTCTTTTATGTGCCAGCATATCGGCCAGTTATATTTACTGTTTAATTATCTGCTAGGCAAAGTGAGTATTTTAACATTTTTGTTTAAAATAATTTTAATAATTGTTATCAGACATTCACTTTAGAAATATGAATTATAGCTTAAACTTTAGGCTTTTAAGTTAAAGCCTGTGTCAAAAATGACTTTCATATGTTGTATTTAAATATGACTTAATGACATTATTTATATGACAAAAATGGCTTTTATATGGTGCATTTGCCTGAAATTTGACTTATAGTCTATTAGTCAAAAATCACAATATAAGTCTCTATAATAAAGATACTTATATTGTGACCATTATGTATGGCATTATCTTGATCGATGTTGTTACACTTGGAATATGTTGTTTCAACTTTTAGGTATTTTATTTTGCTACAATTTTTTTATGATGTTGTTTTGATTTGATTTGTTCTGTAAACAGAAAGCTGTACAGTGTCCTTTTTTTTCCCACCTGTTGAATTTCAGCAACATTTTTGTCAAAATTATTTATAGTTCATTTTACAAGAGGTAGTAGAAGATTATTTTATTTTTAACTACTTTCTTATTTTGTAATGTGGTTTTTTTTTTAGAACAACTTAAGAGTATGATTTAATAACTGTGTGAATCTTCTTGGTTGATGCCTAAAAGATTTTTTGAAGGCAGTTCTACATTTTATTGAAATATAAAAACATGCCAATATCCCAAAAATTATTCTGCGTAATGTTTTTTGGATTGTTTGCATGTAAAATTAAAAATTCAGTCATTAATTGTGAAAAAGACTAATTGGCTAATTAGTTTAAAAAGTTTCAATGGTGATGATTGATTGGTGAGAAACTTATTTACTTTTTATGTTTTAATTACATGATTTGTAAATATTTATGATATGAATTGTTTGTGATTTCAGTATAGTAAAGTTTTTATTTCTACATTTGTATTACTTAGCACAAATATTTTATAATTTTGTCTACAGATTGGTTTGTAATAGCCTTAATTATCTTATTTACTTAATGTTCAGTATACTGTTATGTTGTTTTTAAACTAGATAAAATAGTTTTTAAAACGAAAATGACTGCTGGCTCTATATGAATCTAATTTAAGTTTACTTCTTTGGGAATTTTATATCATATATTAAGTTTATTGTATTGGTAACTTTTTTATTACTAAAAAAAGAATTTTGTTACACAAAAAAAAGTGTATAATGCATAACATCCCAGCTATTACAATATATTGGAGGGCTTTTATTGGAAATGTTTTTTTTTTAACATTTTCATTTCCAACAAGACTGCAAGCACCTACTATTAGAGAAAAGATGAAATTTATAGAGTAAAATAACAACTAACAGAAAAAATTAATAGATTGCAAATTATATGAAAAAAAACAAACAAGCTGAAGCAAGTGAAAAAAAAGTTTCACGAAAAAACAGATTAGAACTTTTTAGGCACTTAGGAACAGTCATATTAAAGGATTAGCCTTTATTGAATGATGAGTAACACAATAGTGAGTTTTAGTAGATGATACAAGAGACGCTAGCTCTTTAGAGCAGTGTCCATAATTGTATTTATAAAAAATAAAATGAGAAGCAACATTATGATAATATTCTAATGGTTGGAGGTTGGCTGCAAAGGTCAAGGTGCAAAAACAATTCCTTTTTGTACCTTGTCTAAAAGAGAAAGGCCATTACTGGAAGATCTGATTAAGATATGGCAAAAGTGTTCCATGCAGGGATGGATGTAAGATTTATAGAGATAAGACATAAATATTTATAGAGATGTTTGAATTGATGAATACTTTTAAATTTAATATTGTATCATAAGTTGACAATATATTCAAAGACTGAAATTTAGCACAATTGTATTAAGCAAAGGTCTTTGCACACCACCAATTAAGCATTTATATTTCAAGAGTTGTTTATTGATAAAAGCTTGCCTTAATTTACATAAATAGTAATATTTGTAGATATTATTATCTACTAGATAATAATTTATATTAAAAACTAACCTTTATATGTCTCGTTTTCAAATATGTTGTGTTGATATATTTGCCCTGGCTTTTAGTTTATGACTCAATATTTAAACATCAATTCTTGAGGTTTAACTATCTCATCATTTCTAAAAGTATTAAGGGTAGACAGCCTAACTCACCATACCTAATCAAAACAAAAGAACATTATAAATTCGTATCTTTCTAATTTTATGAATAATTTTTATTTAAACATTAAAACAATTTTTTGGTTGAAATCTAATACATAAATTTCAAAAAACAAATTAAAATTAAATAATATCAATAAGAAATTATGCAAATCTTTTTTTTTTATCTATAACTTATTAACTTGTAGTGCAATTATAATTTTTATGCAAGATTTTATACCTTTTTGTCGCAATGTAACTCAAGTCTCAGCTAGAATACCAAATGAATAAATAATTCTAAACTATATGCATTTAATTCTATACTAAAACTATATACATAAACTCTAAACTATATACAATAAGTTTTTTTTATTTATTTAATCTAATAAACTCTAACTGTAACTATAACTCTCAGCTAGAATATCAAATAAATAATTCTAAACTATAACTAACTTATAATTATAAAAATATTAACAGTTTAAAAAAAATAAAATCCAAACGCTAAATAATCTATAATATAATATTGAGATAATAACAAAATCAGAAAAAATTTCAATAAATTTCAGTTGTTGTTGCTGTTGAACATATCGCGATACTCGATTTCCCGGTTTTCGCTTTCAAACTTTTCGCTTTAACGTTCTTTCGCTTTAAAACTTTTCGCTCTTACGTTCTTTCGCTTTTAAACTTTTCGCTCTTACCTCCCATTACCGTTTTTACAGCAGTTATCTTTTTAAAACGTGTTAAAGAAATTACGTGCTTTAATGCAAATTTTTTGTATAAAAGCGCGTGATTTCTATAACAGTTAAATTGAGTTTTTGAAAAAAAGTTAAACTGTTGTAAAGTTTCGAAATTGTTTGCGCAGCAGTTATTTTAACGAAATGTAAAGTCTACTGTT